ATATGATGATATTATATTACGTTATTTGTATGCCAATATATATACATATTATACTATACATATATTTATGGTACGAAAAAAAACCTACACGTGGAACAAATTTCGTATGTGTTTCGTCATGTTGTAATTACTCGTTATCATTCTTTGAACAATTGAGATTATTACCTCTACATTACAGGTGAAGGATCGACCTTGCAGATAGCACACGGAGTTCGAAAAGAATTTATTTGTATTTAGTCGTATGTCCTCATTAATTCTGAGTTCATTTTCAGGTGCGAAAAGAATTATATTCTTTTTTAGAATTTTTAGAAAAAGAATTTTTTTGCATTTTAAAACGAACTAAGAATTGATAATATACAACTGAGTTCTTCTTGATTTCTCTGTGCTATCTGGGGACGTGTTACTATTTTTGTCGCAAAATCGCAATATTCAATTACCAGATTCTGTTAATAGCACTAACAATAAGCGAGTATAAGCTATTTTTATTAAAATACAGTTAGGGAGAAATAGGGATTATTCGTACACGGAACACATATATCTTAACTTATAAAAGCATAGAATTTCATCATTTTCAAATTTCAGTCACTTTTGTCTGGGATTGTACAACCAGAACATCCTTAAGAGTTTACAGAAGCAGGGGTGCATTAAATTTAAAATCGACTCACAGTACCTTAAAGTAGAAATTTCAAACTTTCATTTTAAAAAGTTCATCATTCTACGATGATTTTTCGCGGAGTTACCGTTAGTCAAAGTTGACCAATTTTTGCCCAAAATTTTTCTATGCTATAATTTTTTTGAGGAGTATATTTCTATCTAAGTTATCGGTTTGTACAGGGTGAGTATGTAGGTATAAATCAATTTAATATCTTTTGTTAAATTGATTTTATATATACCAATAACGTCTGCAAAAGATAATTCCATAATGTATGTTCATAATACGCATCTGATTTTCTGTCATTTAATTTGTATCCTTAAAGAGAGAAATGTAAGATTTAAAAATTAATAAGTGAGCTTGTAGATATATGTCCATTTATATGATATTTATATAAATATTCTATCTCAATACCATGTGTTTACTTAATTTGCAAATTCTAGCAATTATTAGCAGTATTTATTAGATATCTAAAGATTTTTCATATAAGCTGATCTGTGTATCGTTTTATATATTATGTATATAATGTATGAAATTTTTCTAAAAACACCTTCGTTTTTCTATTAAAAAAACTATATGTGTTTTGTGAATAAACTTAAACGAAGAATAAAAAATTGAGGGAATAAGAATTGAAGGAATAGTAAAAAACAAGAAATCAATATTAAAAACAAAAAATCCTGATATTTTTTGATAAACAAAATGTAATGATTAAATGTATAAAATAGTAACAAAATTTGCATAAGAACAGTACATCAAACTATTACAAAAAATATAACAGTTGTAATATTACTAATTAATACTTTCACCATTACGCCTAGTTATCTTATATATTCTGTTTTCCATACTACGAATTTAACTAATTTTTGCGATGTCGTAATATCAATTTTATTTCACTCTTGTCTTGCATTTTTCAACTCCTAATGTTGCTGTACAATTTATAATCTCTATATACTGCTCTTGTTAGAATTTCCCGTAACCTAAATATTCTCTACCGAATTTAAGTCCGGCGAATCGTGCCGGCCACTTTATAAGTGATAAATTTTTCTGTTGGAACCAAAACTCCAGTTATATCTTTTTTGTATAGCGTTATCTTAATGAAAAATAACTTTTCTTCATGATTTTCTTTGGTAATAGAATTAAACATTTTTCTAATATTCTAATAAGTCAACGTATTGATCAGTGTTCATTTTGGTACAATGTTGCATATTGGCATTTTTGAAGAGTAACTAACGCAGTCCATACCATCAGACTTTTTCTGCCAAAATTGGAAAAAAATATATCAGGAAAATATAACAAGATAGGAAATGGCACAAAGCAAAACTGCATCAATTTTAAAAGTTTTATTTATAAATTTTTTTTGCTAATTTGAATTATAATTATTACGCAACACACACATGTACATAATCAATGTATAAATATTTAAATACGGTATACACGCGCCTCAAATACGCTCATAATTATTTTAGTTTCAAGGAATGTTAAACGTGCATTAAAATTTATTCAAATAATAAAGTTACTACTTAATATAAAATCACTGAACAATTATATATATATATATATATATATAGGATATAAATTAACGTTAAAAATTTTTTTACCGCATAGCAATATGATAATGACAAATATGTATTCAGTATAAAAAAATTCCAATTTTCAGTCCAAGAAATTTTATTGTATGCACAACAAATTGAGTTTATATAATTGTTAACTAATAATAATAGACATTGAGTTTTATCACAAATACATTATAGATTTGAGCCTTCGCGTTTTATACGACTTCTCTTTCTTATAAATAATATACGAACATGTATACCTGGCCATCATTGTATTATTTTTTGAGATCATTACTCATAAAAATTATAGTATACAGCGAAACAAAAATCCTTGACAAAATTCAATATATATATATATATCATGATCAAAAGTTGTTTGTAAAACGGTCTCACATAGTCAAAATATTAATGTTAAATATTAGCAAATGCACCGTATTAGGGATAGTGCGAATATAGGGTGTCGCAAACTTATTAATAGCAACTGATACTCGTTAATATCGTAAATTGATCGTTAAGCAGATTCCTAAATTTTGAGATGAAAATTATAATACAAAATGCCAAGGCTATGATTTTTAAATGAAAAATGTTTTAAGTTAAGCAATCGTTCGAGATTCACGCATAGATATAACATCGAATAGTAGTGAAAGTGTGTCCAAGCGCCAATTTCAATATTGATGTAATTCTGTATACATATATTCTCACTACTGTGTAATGTGCCAGATCTGTGCGTGCAACTTTTTAAAGACTCTCGACTGGTCAACTTTAAAAACACACTTATTACTTAAAAATTATTAGAGCCTCCATATTTTATTATTAGAATTTTTATTTCAAAATGATGAATCTCAGATGTCTGCCAATAAGTCTGCAACATTCCGCATATAAAGAGTTCCATATATCTGAGCAACAATTCAGTATTAAACTTTTGGAAGAACATACTACCCTCCCTTAAACATCTACATCATTTCATTTCTTCAATTCAATTAAATTTCAGTTTTTATCAATACATTATATTCAGTCTGTGCGTAGAGAAATGCATTACATATAAATCAATTATCCTTTGGTTAAATTTACTCCTCGATTTATTGGTGAAGTCTGTCTCTTGTAAATTGACGAAAGTATATTTCCTACATATTAAATTGAATCTCTAACTCGAAGGCCCCAAATACTTGTTCTTCGAATACCGACTGTTGGCCTTGCGACCGAGCTATAAAGGTACTTGTTAATTTCGGGTTCACGACAGGTGGCTTGTAATGATTTGAGCACCGATTCCGACATTAGGCCGAAAACATCTAAATATAATAAACATGGCATATGAGCTAGTCTTATGTATGCCGATTGTGGAATACTGTAACAACGGCTCAGTGACAGGTGCTCGAGCTTCGAGAAGTTTAGTAAATTATGGACGGTGTGCATTGTAAGCATAGGGCAATCACTCAAGTCTAACTCTATGATATCCGGACACCTTCTTGACAAGTCCTTTACATCTGAAATTAAAAAAAAAATGTATACCAAAGCCGATAAATAACAGATCTCTATTACACTTACTCTCGTCAGTCATCGTTTTTCTACAACCCGCTAAGTTCAAGCGTGTAATCGATGTTGGCAGCGTTTTACAAAGTAAAGTTATACATTCATTATCCAGAGAACTCCATGCAATATTCAAGGAAGTTAGGCTGAAACAATTCATCGATTGTATTGAAATTGGAAATTGCGTAAACGCGTCTGTGTATACATATATAGATTAATAATCTTACCATTTAAGTTTCATTAATTCCATAATACATCCAACGTCTATATTCTCGCACATGGTTAAATTCAAGACTTCTAATTCTGGATTTCGACTAAGCGCCCTACAGCAATCTCTATTCAATATACACTTTTCCAGCGACAATTTTTTCAAATATATACACTTGGATAATAACGCAGCCAAACCGGCTGGTGATATGACCGCCATAGATAAGTCCAAGTATTGTAATTTACTGATACAGATATCACCAAGAACTTCGCTGCCTTCGTAAAAGACAGGATCCGCGATTTCCGCTTGTGCCAGTCTTAGAATTTGTACCCCTCGCGGCAGTATGTGCCCTAATGTGCCTTCGCTCAAAACTTTACTACCCAAATCTAATCTAGTCCACAGTGCCTCATCTCGGGCTATTTGGCACCAACGTTTACATACTAGCATACAACGTACCTGCAAAATAATTTAGCATACAATTAATATGTACATACAATTTATACGCAAAATTATACAATTGAAATGTAAAATTTATACGCAAAATAATATATAATTTATACAATTAACATGTACAATGTATACTCAAAATAATTTATACAAAACATGTATAATTTATATGCAAAAGACGTATATGCATCTTAGGCAATGTGGAGAGCACACAGAGTGTTAATCTTTTTTTATTCTTGTTTGTTATTTAATTTTTTTACTCAATTTTACTTGCTGAAAATTATGTCTCAGTATCCGGAAAATATTTTTTTCACATCTTAAACAGAAAAAAACAATGATTTATTTTATCGCTTCGTGATTCTTTAGTGCACGTAGAAGCCACAATTTTAATAAAAATAAATTAAGAGAAATTCGCTAACATGGCTCAACAAAATGATAAAATAAATTGTTTTTTTCTGTTCAAAATGTGAAAAAAATATTTCCCAGATACTGAGACTATTTTAACTACGATTCTTGGATTAAGCAAGTAAAATTGAAAAAAAAAAAAAGATAAACCCATCGATCCTTTTTCAAACTATCCAAAAGGCATAAACTCTTTTACACAATTGCGACATGTATAAGTTATTAGAATTCTATTTAATATTTTGTTGCTATTCTTACCAAACATTTCTTAGGTAACCATTTTAATATCATCAGAATTATTTCATCTGACAACTTGTTAAACTTGTCCTCGCCTTCAACGGAAGGTCTTCTTTTTCTTCTAAATAAGTAGAATTGATCTAGAGAAGTTTGCTCGTTTTTCTCGGCGGAAGTGTTAACCTTTTCCTTAGGAAAGCTTTCTTTCGAATCCCCAAAGTAGTCAGCTTCCATTTTTGAAGAATAACCAGATTCATTCTCTGCACCACATAATTCCTTATACGCTAATTCCATATACTCGTCATACGAATTTTGTTGAACCCTGTAAGAACAATTAGGTAGACAAAATAAATAAAAACATAATTTTGAAACCAAAGAAACCGCCGATGAAACTTCGGTTGTCACAAACCTGTCAGTACTCGCAATTTCCAAGCTAGAACTTGTATAAACCTCCTCTTGATATTCAAAGACATCAGGTTCGTCTATTATTGATCTATTATTACTATCTACATTCTCCGACACAATTGTACACTCTTCGGACTGTAGTCTTTTTGTACTTTCACAATTCGCCGCTCCATCTTCCAGCATGCCAACGCCCATATCTTCCAAGATTTCAGGTTCTATGAGACTGGCGTTTCCTGAATACGGCCATTTTGCGCTATTTCGAGAGTCACCGTGCAAAGTACTATTGAGATTGTTATTACAGCCATTGTCCAAACGTAATCGTTTGCTGTGAACATATGAAAATTCATTTACAAACAAAGATTTTAATACAGACATGCCGATTCAATTGTAAATAAAGGAACAAATTATATATAAACCTGTTCCACCAGGGTGATGACGAAGAAGATGAGTCTCTATTCATTATATATGTATATAGATATAGAAGCTCTTATTCCAAATTCTAATGATATCAAGAATAAGTCAGTTCTTACAACGAACTGTTATAAAACCAGGCAAATACTGTAGGAAAGGAGGATTAGTAGTTTTAGTTACGTACAAGCTATATTAGACATAAATCATAAAGATCACAATGTAAAATATCGTTAATTAATGTAATCACATAAATCGCAAAACGAATAAATTAGTCTTCTTGAATAAAAATAGAAAAATTTTTGCACAACAGTAAATGAAATATCTTAGACGTAATTTATATGCAATCATGCACGCGAAATAGGAAGAAAAATACGATTTGAACAATCCCTGCCACGTCTGTCGAAAAATATGTGGTTTATACTGCTATTTAAAGAGTTATTGTAAATAGGCACACATTTATTCCGTAAATCTCACGAATGGTACGAATGCGGAGTCCATCTTACATTCGATAAGATCACGAAGACGTTTCGATCGGGGATCGGAATCCCGAATTAAATTTTCCGACTTCGAGACTCTAGCAAGAATACCACAGATTGTGGAAATTTATTCGCGACAACGGGAAGGAACTTGCAATCGACGGTCGGGAACGCGACGACTTCTCGGGCAGCGTTAAATCTCGGCCATGTAGTATAAATTCGAGCGTTCGCTGCGAGGCATAACAACGCAGGTCGTAGGGTACTTGGGGCGCTGCTCAACACTATTCAGCGAGAGCGTCCCTCGCGCGACCAGGGAAAAACACCAAACGAAACACCACCAAAACGTGTATTCGCTGCTCGTAATAACCTTACTTACAAAAGAGAGAAAGAGAGAGAGAGAGAACGAGCGCGCGCGGGTGTACGTATGTACCACCTGCCCGTGCATCCCTTCCCCCTCGCAAGAAAGCAACAGGCAACAGGTAAGAAATAAAGATGCTCGAGCCGGATAACCAAAAGCGGCGTGAGTGACAAGAGACTCGGCCTCACCTCTCGGGCGGCGAGGACTCCTGGGACTTCGGCGGTCGGGAACTCTTCTCGTGTAGCCGCGCGTGCTCGATCACGCAGCCGGAATTCATCCTCGTCGTCACAAGCGTGCGTCGAAGAGACGGACAGAGGGACGGACCTGCGTCTCTCCCTTTTCAAATCTCCGCGAGATGTCCGGAAACCCACTGCTCTGTGCCCGTCCGGGCGCGCTCCGGCATGGCAAAACAAATCTCGCTCGCTCGGTCGGTCGGTGGCAGTCCGGTCGCGCGGCGCGGCCCGCGCGATTGTCCCGCCGAGCCGGCTCGGCGGAACGGCGCTGATTGGCAGGCCGGCGAAAGGCGGGAACGCGGTGAGGACGTCGAAACGGCGGGAACGCGCGCTCGCGCGTGCGCGCCGCGCGCGCCTCGGTTTCGCGCGCCTTTTCCACGTTCGATTTCGCGCCGTCCGAGCGCTTGCGGCACTGTTGTACATACGTGCCGCCGCGTGGCCGCGGCGAGTTGGCACCGTCTCGCGCGACACCGATGAGATACTATTAAAGACTACCCTTATTACGGGAGTTAGCATGGCTGTTTTGGTAATTGCTAAAATTTAGGCAATTAGTCAATAATATAATATTAATTTAATAATTTATTGTTAGATCAATGTTTTTTAGACATGTACATTGTAATTCATCTGTATTATAACTTAAGCTAATATATATAGGTATAACTTATAATATTTTATTTAAAACTGCTTTTATAGTTACCATACATGTTTGATTATCCAGAGAGATGGTAAAACAGTTAGAAAAAAAAATAATTTTGCGGTAATATATACATATTTGATATTATACAGCATCCCGGGAAAAAAAGTTCCACATATAATTATATATAATTATATGCAAAATATGTTTCTTTTCTTTGGAAAATTATTTTTTAATACAAAATTGATAATAATAAAAAGGAAACATAAAAAATAATTAAAAAAATAATTT